GAATCCATAGGGCCCTGCCTTTGTGTTGTTTCACCGGCGCATCGCACGCCTCCTGCACACGCGAGACCAAAAAGCGGAAAGCGCAAAGGCAACGCACATCATCAGCCACTACAGAAGCCATGGCCTGGTACCCAAAAAGATCGCCGTCCGAGACATGGCAAACTGGATCGAAGAGGGTCATGCCCTACTGCCTTCTATACGCTCTAGAGGCTCTGACCCGTTTGCCCTGCACAAAGAAAGGGAGCCGATGCGGCAGCACATAAAGTCCAAGGGTTCCCGGCAGCGAGGGGGGAATTCTGCAACGTAGAACTCCATAGCACTATCTGACCAAGAGAAAGCTTCTTGGAGTAGGGCAGGCATCGAAATTTGTCTAATTTCTTAACATGGGACGAACGGCTTGCCACAACATTTTCGAAAAACCTCCTCTGGTTTTGCCCCCGTGACAGGTGCAAATCCTCGCCCTCCCTCCTGCAGATCCCCACAAATCCTCTGCAACGTCTGTCAGCTCATATGTGTCGTGGCTGGCGGCAACATCAGGAGTCCCCACCTACACTGTACACTGTTGCAAAAGCATCCCACAAAAGACGGCACAAAAAAAGCTTTCAAAACGTGAGCCCCAACCCCAAAATGCCAATACAACACAAGACATGTGAAAAAAAACGATTCGCGCTTGACAGCATTGCTGAGGCCGTAGCAAGCTACAGGGTGACAAGGAAATGGGAGGAACATGCAAACCTCCAAATCATGTCCATGTAAGTCTGCACTAGCACATATGCGGACACACCAAGTGCGGGAACAAGCAACACAAGGGGAAGTAAGCCATGGACCCTTCTGGATTCCCTGGGCAACTGGGCAACTTCCCGGAAGCATTTCCTTGTGCTGTCGATTGCTCGAAGTTCGGGCAGGTTCCTCAGAAGATCTTACCTATTCAATCTGATCCATCTCCTCTAGTGGTTTTTGTCTGTGTGCAGAGTTCGGTGAGTGTCAAAAGAATGTTTTCGACCCCAGGTCACATGCCTCAGAGTCTTATTAAACCATGGTTTTCTCCTGTGCCAGCCTCATCTCAGCATGCCCGAGCCCACGCGCAGCTCGAAAATTGCTACCCCATTGTAGAAGTAATTTGAAATGGCGGGAAGACGTTGTTGATTGCAGCTAGGATGGTTCCTTGGCGAAAATAATTGTGGCTGAGGGCTTCTCAGGCTGCGCTGTTGAATCGCTCATTAACATTTGCCGTGAAAGTGTCCTTTTTCAAGAAACAGAGCACAGTCCTTGCTCAAGGCAGATGGTGTACAACATGGCTGTATCTGCTGATTCTCGCGGTCGAGTGGAAAAGGCAGCCCTGATGGAAGCTGTCCCAAAGGGTGGGGAAAACACCGGGTTGCTTTTCCCCAAATGTGCCTAGTTCCCCTGGTTTTCAGCAACTTAGTTTGAAGCTGGAAAACGCGAAGCGTGGACCTTCAAGAACAAACCATCTGACTGACATGAATGTTATTTGTATCTTGGTATTTGTATTTGTAGAGTTGCTGTTGATATCAAGCCTCACCTTCTCTCCGGCTGGGGTGCCCTGCCACAAGGCCCAGGCCTTGGCCGAGGGCATCTCTGAATGCCGAAAAGCTTGCAACACAACTAGAAACATGGCCATGAGTTTGCCCATGCTGATACTGGTTGACAAGCCAGATGTGGAGGGATACCCGCGGAAACCAAACTTCTTGAGGAAAATGGCTGAGACTGGCAACCTTCATCATTTGCCGGTGCTTCAATCTGCTGGCCACATTCTGGCAGAGATCTGTTTTTCCTACCAGCTGTGACATAAAGATTCGGACTTCTGTTCCCTCGCCTAGGTGAAAACATTGAGTTGTGAGCTTTGCATTCCAATTCATGCGTACGCCGAGGTGGACGAGGGGGTACACACGTACAACAAGTCAGAGTTCACAGTGCTGCAAAGGAGCTAGGGTGGGGGCGCCACCAGGTATACAGCGCAAGGATGCACATCAATGTATGTGATCACCACTGCCCAAAAAACACACCACAACCAAATCATAGCCCCTCCAACCCATACAGTCACAACTTTGAGCACAGTTCTCTTTATGATTGGTTGGACCTGCCGTGTACCCGTAGGAGTCCCCCCCTCCGATGCTGACGTCTCTTTTCTGACCGGCTCGCTCCTCTCCCGCGCCGGACCTGCACGAAACAGGCGGCAGCTGGCGGCTGAGTAACCTTCAACTGACTAAGACGGGCCCGGGGAAGCATTCAAAACCCATAGCCCCCTGAGCGTTTGCAGAGCCAAACAGTTGCACGCCTCAACGCTCACATGCATACTCATACTTATACCTCTGAATTCGACATGTTTCTTCATTTGAGCAGCTCGGGTGCACTTGCTGCGACAAAAACCGACCCTTTAGTTCTGAAAGGGCACTTGGCAGTTGATTAGGTTCATTCATATTGGTACGTGCGATTCTTGCTTGGGTTGGCTACACATTTGTTGACTCCTTTTGGAGCGAGGCGACTGTCTCCCGTGTTTCCTTGAAGGGTCTCAGCCATCAGGATGTTTGCAGCCAAATGGACATGCACATAGGAGGTCCTCAAGTGTCAAACGCAGAGCGCCATGGCTGGCTCCCCAAATCAGGAATTTGAAATCCGTGTTGCAATGCGTAGAACCTAAGACCTCAAAGTCGACTCATACTGGGCCGATCCTGTTGCGACGAGACATGGCATCCGATGGAGCTCGCTCCTCTGGTTTGACGGGGCCTCACAAAAGACTAAGAAGTAAACTACCTCTGCCACGTCCCTGGCTCGCGATCAGCGCAAAACTCTCAGGGTATCTTCAGGGGGCCAAAGGACGGAGATGGTCCAACCTTGATTTTCAACCAGGCTGCAGCAGCAAGATTGATCTGGCTACGTGTGCGTGTGTGTGTGTGTGTGTGACTGTGTGTGTGTGTCTGTGTGTCTGTGTGTCTGTTTGTCTGGCTCTGTGTCTGTGTGTGTGTGTGTCTGTGTGTCTGTGTGTCTGTGTGTTGGTGTGTGTGTGTGTGTCTGTGTGTGTGTCTGTGTGTGTGTGTCTGTGTGTGTGTGTGTGTGTGTCTGTGTGTGTGTCTGTGTGTGTGTGTCTGTGTGTGTCTGTGTGTCTGTGTGTGTCTGTGTGTGTCTGTGTGTGTGTGTCTGTGTGTGTGTGTGTGTGTGTGTGTGTCTGTGTGTGTGTCTGTGTCTGTGTGTGTGTGTCTCTGTGTGTGTGTGTGTCTGTGTGTCTGTGTGTGTCTGTGTGTGTCTGTGTGTGTCTGTGTGTGTGTCTGTGTGTGTCTGTGTGTGTCTGTGTGTGTCTGTGTGTGTCTGTGTGTGTCTGTGTGTGTGTCTGTGTGTGTGTCTGTGTGTGTGTCTGTGTGTGTGTCTGTGTGTGTGTCTGTGTGTGTGTCTGTGTGTGTGTGTCTGTGTGTGTGTCTGTGTGTGTGTCTGTGTGTGTGTCTGTGTGTGTGTCTGTGTGTGTGTCTGTGTGTGTGTCTGTGTGTGTGTCTGTGTGTGTGTCTGTGTGTGTGTCTGTGTGTGTGTCTGTGTGTGTCTGTGTGTGTGTCTGTGTGTGTGTCTGTGTGTGTGTCTGTGTGTGTGTCTGTGTGTGTGTGTCTGTGTGTGTGTCTGTGTGTGTGTCTGTGTGTGTGTCTGTGTGTGTGTCTGTGTGTGTGTCTGTGTGTGTGTCTGTGTGTGTGTGTCTGTGTGTGTGTCTGTGTGTGTGTCTGTGTGTGTGTCTGTGTGTGTCTGTGTGTGTCTGTGTGTGTGTCTGTGTGTCTGTGTGTCTGTGTGTCTGTGTGTCTGTGTGTCTGTGTCTGTGTCTGTCTGTGTGTTGGTGTCTGTGTCTGTGTCTGTGTGTGCGTGTCTGTGCCTTTGTGTGTGTGTGTGTGTGTCTGTGTGTCTGTCTGTGTCTGTCTGTGTCTGTCTGTGTCTGTCTGTGCCTTTGTGTGTGTGTGTGTCTGTGTGTCTGTCTGTGTGTGTGTGTGTCTGTCTGTGTCTGTCTGTCTGTGTCTGTGTGTGTGTCTGTCTGTCTCTGTGTGTGTGTGTCTGTGTGTGTGTTTGTGTTCGGAGCTTTGCAATGACAACTTGCTTGGCCGTAGTACCTGATACCACATGTCCAAATACGCTGGCAATGCAACATCATGTCTTTCTTGCTTGTTTTGATCGGGGTGAAAACAAAAATGTTCTGAATCGAGAACTGTCTGGTGGGCTCCAAAATGGGTTAGGACTCGTGAAGGTATAAGGTAGTATGTTGGTCTAACCTGTTGGGCGGCTACAAAGTCATGGCAAGCAGTCGCAAGAAACAAGGGACACGCTTGAATCAGTTTCATCCATCGAGTGTCGTTGTATAAACATAGCGGGGGCATCCCGTCCTTCCCCCCACCCGGGCACGCCTCCTACCCACCACCTCAGAGCCAGCGGACGCGGAGGCAGAAGGCCCAGGGCTTGGCGAGCTCAGCACCGAAGTACTGAGCCGCCAAGACCCCCTCAGCGTCCGTCAGGGGACGGGATCGCTGAGTGCCCGCCCGCGATGCGCGGGCTAAGGCTGGACCATGGCCTGGCTGCCGCCAGCCCCACCTGGGATGGTAGAGCATGGGGTGAAGGAGGCTGCCTTCTAGGCAGGGGGCCCTTGCTGAGATTTAAGCAAACTTCCGCGAGCATGTTGAAGCAGGAAACCTAGCGCGACTGAGGGGCTAAGTAGTGGCTCACTGCAAAGGCAGCACTTTGAAAATGGCCAGATATTAATCTCTGTCCTTTGCGGGAAAAAGGCATATTTCCTAACCTACGCTTTCCGGGTAGATGCCTCTTTCTGGGGGACAGGTTTGCCGATGCTGACCATCCTCCTCACTGAGATTTCAGCCTGGAACACTGAGGCAAGTGACAGCTGTGGGGTTCCAACCAATACCCTTGCAGACTGGTGCAAAGCATCAGGTGCTCAATCAGTGCTCAGCGCCATTAAAACACAACTTCAGAATCGACAGAACTCTTTTTGAAGAGACCTTGATGTCCCACGGCTAGGTCATGCCCTTCACTGCAGCCCAGCGGCGGCATGGCTGCCAGGCCCGCCCTGGCCCAAAAGGTCGCAGCGTCGAGGTCAAGGGGCACCGTCACAAGGAACGATGCCTCTTGATCCTCTGCCCATGACTGGACCGCTGCGGCCAGGGCCGTGCCACCGCCGGAGCGGTCAAGTGAACCAAGCTGGTTCACAAGAACACCCCGGCCCCCGCAAATCACCTCCACCGTGGCCCCGCCAAGTATGCGAGGACCACGGCGGGCGATGAACAGGGTTTCGGTGGCATAGTCCACCTGGTGCAGGGAACAGATCTTCCAGGGTGCTCTCATGAATGAATCGAACTAAGCATTGCCATGAACGTTGATTTCCGTGAATCGATTGGATCAACAAGTGGGGCGACTCTTTCCTTATTGCGCCATCTATCATTGTTTCTCATGTTTACATGCAGTGAATCACCCTGTTAGAAACAATTTGACTAGGGCAACCAGGGGCGACTCAATGAAACAACCATTAATCCAGATCCTCGACCTGTCGCGGGTAGTTTTTCTGTTGGGTCAACGCCACAGGACTGACATTGTTCGCCGTAGAGCGGACATCATTTGCGGTAGAACGATCTTTGTTGCCCGACTCCCTTTGGTGAATTCTGCACCAATTGGAGGGATCCACTTCACATTTGCTGTGTCGCACATGTTTTGGCTTCCTGTGGAGCCACATGGGACCAATGAGTTGCAGGTGCTGAAATTGTCATAGCAAATCGGAATGGCCTCAGTCCAACATATGCTTTCATAAAGAAACAAGGGCCCTACGTACACGAGTGTTTCATTGGTATGCATTGCGATGAACATGCTGCAAGAAGGGGCGCAGGTGCCATTTAGAGTCAAAACGATGGATAATAACCACTCTGCCAAACACTCACAAGTTGGGCCTTTCCAAATAGATGTATTTTATTGTCTCGGCTATGTAATTAATCGCTTTCGAAGTCTAGGGCTGGGGGTGTTCAAAAGTCTGCTGGGGTTCGCAATCGTGAAGCGATGGAGGAAGGCAACCAAATTCTAAACACAAGGGAACTATCATCTGGCATCAGGATTGGGGGCAATGTGTTAGCAACGGACATGAATGGTTTTGAACACTTCAAAGACGACAATCTTCGCTTTTCGAGGCTTCAAGCAATTTCAAGGCGACCACCTGCCTCGAGGTGGCTCTCCGGCACTACCCCAGACCCGTCGCCGCCGCTGATGCGGTCACAGGTGATCCGCAAGGCCTTCAAAGGCACGACATACCCGGCACAAAACACACCGACTGTTCACAAAAAAACGGGAACAAAGCCGTCACGTTGGCAAATGATAATGATTATCTTTGTCGAACATGCGATTGGGCGTTTCTAGCAGTACAAGGATCCAGGATGTACAAAAGTCTGTGTGCAGCCAACTACTCTGTCAAACACACCTGTTTTCAGCTCGCCCGATTCCGCGTGCCTGTCGTTGAATGGCCTTCTCCGCCGGGTTGATTTCAACCCGGACCTCAGGACAACTCAAACTACACGATTCCAACATCATATTGTGGGTTTGTGAACATCATCGAGTGGAGAGTTAGTAAGTCCACCAGCCACTTTTGACGGGGTTTCCCGATGAAACTCATTGCGGGTCCCTGTCATATCGATGCAAAGGGGCAAGGCGGGCTAAAGGATGGGGGCGGTCGACTCCAAATGCATGTCAAGGCACTGTTGCGTCGGGGCGGCTTAGAGGACGGATCTGGGAGTAGTCCACTACCTCGGTCCGCTGCTCCTCGTCCTCCGCCTCCTCCTCCTCCTCCGCCTCCTCCTCCTCGTCCTCTTCCTCCTCATTCTCCTCCTCCTCTTCCTCCACCTCCTTGTCCTCCTCAACCTCCTTGTCCTCCTCATCCTGCGGAGCGCATACTGACCAGGTTTCGCCAGCAACAGTAAAACTTCAGAGAGGCTGCTCCTGCCCAACAAGGTGTGGAACAGGCACATGATTCACTGAACCTGAAGAAAGTTGTACCCCTGTTGCGTCCTTCACAAATCCAGGTGGGTTTGGGCTATTTATGGTCTCAATGATTGCTCATTTAGGCAGAACTGAGAGCATCAGTGTAAGCCTACAAACGCGTTCAGCTCGCACATCAAAGCATAGGCCCTAGGCATGCACAAGCCACGCCTGTGCGAGGAGCCTCCCAAGCCACGTCCACCAATCCTGGCAGCAAGCCACGTGCAGAAAAATGCTTCAAGCGGAGGTTTGGGAAGACCTGCCGCATCACACCTCTTTGTTCGGTAAGTGGATTTGCCACGTGGTAACGTAGCTTCAACACATGCAGACAAGAATCCTTGCATGCCTTCAACATGTGGTAAGTAACGCCTCACCTGGATATGTAGAAAAGAACAATTCACGACATGGCACAAATTGGTGCAAACGCCCAGGTCGTAGTCCTCCTCCTCCTTCTCCTCAACCTCATCCGCCACTCCTTCCTGCAGGGAAAGCATGGGCGCCAACAACTACATACCTTTGGAGAAAGCAATCATCTATTGCAGCAACTTAAAATTCGCCCAAACCGTTCTGAAACTCAGGGAGATTACGCGTTGAGCTGTCACTCCAGAGTCTGTTGGGAATCAACACTCGCTTCTAAGTTAGGAGTCCTCGATGACATTAAGTTCTGTTGAGTTTTAGTCTCACTTGGATCCGCATGTTCTGCCACATCTACTATCAGAGCATGTACGCGTCATGTTGCAGATAAATAAGCCGTTTATTGTCGACGTCTTTCGACTCTGGCGGGGAAGGCGCCGTCTGCATTTGGAAACATCCGGAGATATCAGGGATTCTGCTGTGGTACGACATGTGCATTGCTTCAAATTATGATTCATATCAAGAGGTATGTTGACCACTGCAGCTTGCTTCAAGAGACATAAGCACGTCCCATCGCATTCATGTGCCTCGACATCCTGATCCGAGTCCTCTGCTTTGGCTGCCTGGATCGAAAGCAGACTTAAAGACCCTTTTAGCTACGTAACAAGAACTCGCCCATGCAAGCTCAAATAATATCGGAATCATGTGAGGTGATTTAGCAAGGTATGATTGAGTATCATGAATACAATGCATTGGGATCTCATGAGCCGGGTTCAACCATGGCACACTTCCCAAATCCGCAAGCCAGTTAGCTGGAGGTTGTGCCTATACATATTGTGTATGATTACCTAAAGGTCGTGTATGGTCGTGTGTTTCCAATTTCCGCCAGCCAGGCCTCGTTGTGGCGCTTCGCCGCTTCCTGCCAGTGCAAAAAGCGGCGCGTGCCGAAGGAACGTCGGGCGAAGCTTTGCTGTCTACGCTGGCTCGTGTGACCCCGCGGACCGTGCTGTGGCCATCGCACAAGCAAAAGTCTGGACCCTGTTTCTGGCAGATGAGCTCTCACAGCGACCCTGCCGATGCGCATCACTTTCGTATATCTCAACCAGGAAGAAGCTTGAATTTCAGGTGGGGACCCACTCGAAATCTCCCGATGACCCCGTCAAGCCTTGCGGGCATTCTGCATAACGACCGCCTGCGAGGGTCAACGGAGCTGAGAGCATGGTGTCGCGAGCTCGACCACAGGCCAATGGAAACGCATGATACCGTCAACGGAATGAAAGCCGCGAATCCCGATTTCGAGGGCCCAAAACAATGCAAAATTCAGTTTCACACCATAAATAAAGCACCCCCAGTCCCCCCCAAACCAGCTTGTCATACCGAAACATCACCCAGTTCCCCCCCAAACCAGCTTGTCATACCGAAACATCACCCAGTCAACGAAACATGAACTGTGGATAAACACACACACACACACAAAAAAAAAAAAAAAAACACAAGCATCCCATGCTGCACATGCATGCTGCTGACTTTTACTCGTGCCACTGCAGTCTGCTCATCCCCAGTTCAAACCCAGGTCCAAAACCAAATGGATCAATCGTTGCATGTGCAGCCCATCACAGCCCTTCCCTTTCTGCAAACATGCCGAAGCTGGCTTCAGTCAACTGCCAAACAAAGGCACCAAACAAACAAGTAGAATGAAAGTACAATTTCTGCACATAATACCATGCCTTTGTTCACAAAGCGGCATGGGGAGCTCACAAAGAGCTCCACGCATGAGCGCCCATGAGCGCCCAAGTGTCCAAAATCAGCCCCCACAACTAGCACGGCAAACTTCGAAGAAACTACAGCAGCCAGTTCCGAAAAAGTAATAGCCCCTTTCAAGCAGTGGGCCAAGTCTAATTCAAGGGGGGGTTAAATCGGAGTGACATTGCAGGAATACACGTGTGGCAACGACACTTCATCAAGCACATCACTGTCCAAGGCCTCAAGCCATCTTCAGTCCACAATGGAACGCGGAAACAGACGTAAGAAGGGCAAGGGGTGGCAAAAAGGGAAAGCTGCCCGAATCCTAATTACTAAGTTCTGTACTTGTCGTTGGCATCTAAAATGATCAGGTGCGGGGAATTTTGCCTTACTGCAGCGGAACTTTGCAACGTTTCCGGCTGTGCCTTCCGCATGGGTGAATCATTCCCGTGCATCCGTGCTCATGACATCCAGCGTTCGAAGCAGCGGACAGTGATAGAAAGTCCCGTCGAAGAAAACATGCTGGTGTTTTTGCGCCAATACACAAGTGGGAGCGAAGGCCAGCTCGAGTTTGTGACACGCTTTGCCAGGCTCTGAGCCCGTTGTTTGATCTGCCGGCGTCTTTCTCAAGCGCCGGCATGTGTTCCCTCTTGCGGCGAAAATTACTGCTTCCATATAAAACGTTTTTTGTTGCCAAACGGAGCTTCCAAGTCCTCCAAAAAAACAGCGAGGTTAAGCAGTAGCACCACAGAATATGTTTGCCCAACCTCCTTTAACTTACAAGCAGAAACTTGCACCTCGAAACAAGCCCCCCGATCTTTGACTGTGGGGGGTCGCTTGCAGGGAGGTCCCACAGCAACTCGCGTCTCGTTGAACAACAGTGTTTGGCCAAAATTCCCAGATGCTCAAAGAAGCTTCTCCGGCCCTGCCTGAGCTGCAGGCATATTGTACACGCCCAGTAGCATTGAAACCTACCGAACTTCCAGAGGCCATTAAGGAAGATTTGAAACATGATCAGGATTCCAGGATGTCAGTGGTACGAGTGCATTCTCTCCAAACAACTTGCTCATTCTGTCCACGTTGCGAGTCTGAGTGGCTGGCCGTGAAGGTGAGCTCCTCCACCTTCCTAGGCGGGCTGTAAAAGCCTCAAGCACCGGAAAGCAGAGTTGCATGGTTGTGTCTGCATTGCCAGGGAA